AATGAACAAACTGATCCAAGTCAACTATGTACGTGTCAAATGGTATCAAAGTGAACCGTGATCAAAGCTATATTGTTAAAATTACTTTGTCAAAGCAGACTTCGATCGTGTCAACGCGCCTTAATAGAAAAATTCATAGACAAATGAAATAAATATGTAGGAAGCTAAGCTAAACACAAACCTTTATGAAGTGCTAGCGCAAATATATTTAACTATATTATATTTAAATCTTTCGGAGAAAGTTAGATACCACAAAAAATTACTTTCCTGCAATACAAACCCAACTTTAAATCTCTTTAAATAAAAATCATTGCTGCCCGTTAGTCTCCCTAAAAACTCGAAAATGGCTCAACTGATGTTGATGAATTTGTATGTGTTTGAGTGGATCCCTGGATGGTTTAGTTTTATAACTGGACCTGGTAGGGGGCGCTGTTCCAGAAATCTCCCGTGCGAGGCTATTACATGGAAAGCTCACTTACAATATATTCACAACAAACTCTCCTCACTTGTGGGCGCACTGCATAAAATAGTTTGGTGTGACAATTAATTTTTTTCCTCAGAGCGGGACGCCTTTAAAATTATTTATTTGTGTGTATAAAATTATTTAACTGTGCAATAAATTTACCAGTGTCTTTTTGCTCTGTAAAACGCACAAGTTGCTTATATTCATACAACGGCAATTCTAAAATTTTATCATCTAGCATAATCACCTGCCATGTGTTTTCTTGCAACTCTGAAAAGCTTGCATATTTTTGTAGTAGCTGACAATTTTGATAGCACAATTTCAAATGCTTAGTACAAAATCAAGCGGATTGGTCGGTCCTTGTTTATTTCTCCATCTTATTCTAATTACTTTTGGCGCCTTTTTTTAATTTATCCTATGCTACTGCAGCGCCACCCTAATGGACACGTTTTTAGGGACACTTTTCATATATAGAGATGTTCTTCCTCCTACTCTACACTCCATACATAAAGACATTCTCTAATACATACTAAATACTTCTGAGTCAGTGAGCTTTGTAGTCAAAGACATTTAAGTAGTAGTAGTAATAGACCGGCATTCCCTATATATAATATACTCTGTGCACTACACGATCCACAGCGCGGCAGGGAAGCAGGGCAGTCGGAACTCGGAACCACTCGGTCGCCCTGTTTAGGGACCCTGACTCTCTATTTCTTATTACACTATCCTGTCCCTGCGGGCAGGGCCCTAGAAATCGTTTAATGTAATAAGCCTTTTAATGACGATATTCATTTTGTTCTTTATGAAGTACATTCGGCTATAATGACATCTCTTACCTCACAATACCCAGGACTCAATAGTCAATAATCAACGCCATTTTGTTCTTTGAGGAGGCACCTGGGACTTAGAAGGTTAATACAATATTTTAAAATATAACGAAATTGATACAAATTCGATACTCTAAAATAAATATCGATATATTGCGATTAAAATATCGATATTTCGATACATTTTGTCATTTTGCCCAAGTTGTACGAACAAAATGACAATATTATACATATATTTCCATTCTTAGAATAGAACATTCCTGTATATGTCAGTTACTATCGCGTAGTGTTTCTACTTTCTATATAGTTTGTGGTTACTATACTCTTTGGCTTAGAAGGAATGGTATGCCAGCAAAGAGAATATAACCACTTGTATGCCAGTGCATAAAATAAGAATAACATTACATATTTTTTATATATTAAGCTACGAAGTTTTTAAATACTATGCTTTGACAAACTAAGATTCGGTTAGAATTTACTAGGTAGTCTGTGAAACTAAGTATCTAACTTAGATACTTAGTTTCACAGACAGCTATCGACATACTTATTACTTAGATAATCTAAGTATGTCGATAGCTGATTTTAATCTCATGTTAGCTAGAACCTAGAAGTTGTGCTTCACAAATTAATTACTACAAATGTTGTTATCGTCTGAATTTCGTTGTTTCAGAATTCAAAAATGGATGAACAATCCTCACTTGATAGTGATTACAGTGACTCAAATAAAACAACAAATTCGAAGTTGAAGAATTCAAAGAAATCTAACACAATATACAATTGTGATCATTGCCCGGAACAGTTCCTCACAACACGAGCTGTAGTGTTGCACTCACGATCCCATCTCAAATTGAAAGGCGTTACATTCACATGCGCTCTCTGCCAGGAAACATTCAAAACGAATGACGAGCTGATAGAACACAAATATGTTCATGATTCGGAGGACCTTTGCTTTACATGCAAGAAATGTAAAGTGGCCTTTTCAAACCATCGTGATTATTTATATCATAAATTAAGACATACCACAGCTTCAGTATTCAAATGCGAGGAGTGTTCCTACACATACCAAGTAAGGAGGAGCTTCAGGGGACATATAGCAACACACTATGATAGAAAACTCAAATGTCAGTTATGTGGTGTTACATTTAAACAGAATAAAGATTTGCAAACACACAGACGGAATTTTCATAAAACAGGCATACAGTGTGTGGAGTGTGGGAAAAATAATCAAACTCGGAGAGATCATGAGGAGCATATGGTGTCACACACGGGGGTTAAAGTATTTCAGTGCCTGTATTGTGGTAAAGGTTTTTCCAGGAGTGCTCTAAGACGTCTTCATGCGAGAAAACATACTAAATCGAAACCGTATGAATGTGAGGTGTGCTTACAAAAGTTTGATGTCAAGAACAATCTCTCGCTGCATATGATTACCCATGATACTGAGAAGAGGTATGAGTGCCACGACTGCGGGAAGCAGTATTTTCACAGAAACAGCATTATACAGCACACAAGAAAACATATGAACTATAAACTGTATAACTGTCCCAAGTGCAAGAAGTCCTTTGCTACTTATCAAAATTTGTGTGATCATGCTGAAGTTGCTCACATAAAGAAGAGGAGGTTCAAGTGTGACATTTGTGAGGTGACGTTTGTCCTTAAAAGATCTCTCCTCTTACACATGAGAGCCAGATACCACCGGAACAATATTTATGCTATGACTGTTAAGGAAAACAAAGACTGATTTGACAAGAATGATTGATTTTAATAAAGTTGTTATCAAAATCAATTCAATGTATAAATAATTGTTTATTTTTGAAAATTTGTTTCATTACAATCAAGAACATGCCGTGAGGTGGCCATGCTATCAACGCTCCATTTTGTCCTGGGTATGTTGTTTGAGGTGACCATGGAAAATAGCAGGATGATCTTATGGCTCCAGAGAGATGGTGGTATATCACATCTTGCTTACCAACTGGTGACAGGCAGCAGTGTCAAAGGCGTCACATATGGTGCTGAAATGATCGGTCCACCTGCCGAGCATAGTGATTAGTTTTTCATTGCGTTGTTCTTCTACTTTTCTCCTGTACCATGGTGGTATTTTTCATAGATATATTACACACAGACAAACAACTAAACTGTGTAAATAATTGTTTCATTATTTATAAATCTTATACTAACAGACACTAGTTTCAATTAATTAGCCACTTTGCTCCTGATCTAGACAAAAAATGGCATCCTCATCGTTTCTTTCATTCATTATAGCTTATCTACACAGCCACACCACATCACTATTGAAGAAATGTGGCTGAACTTACGAATTAATTCAAAAAGTAATGTTATTGGCACGGCCTATCGCCATCCATGGCTTCATCATCATCATTACAGCCCTTCACAAGTCCACTGCTGAACATAGGCCTCCCCCAAGGAATGCCACAAAGCATGGTCCTGAGCAACCTGCATCCATCGACTTCCTGCATATCTGTGCAGGAAGTCGATGGATGCAGGTGGAACCTGTGAAGGACCACGTCTCAGTTCCGTATGTCATCACTGTGTCATCAGTGAAGGACTACGTCTCAGATCCGTAAGTCATCACTGGCAACACGCACTGATTGTACAATTTCGTTTTCAGGTAGTATGTCTAACAAGATGTGTCGTAGTTCCCCCCGTGATGTTGAAAACCTTGATATTGAGTAATTTTTAAGCATAGTTTTAATTTAAGTTTAAGAATAAACATTGTTTTGATTCTATAGATTTTGTTCTTTTATTGCAGAAAAGTCATTAGTTCCTTATTTTAAATTAATTATATATTCAGAAAGGGTATAAAGTCCATATTGGCTGCAGAAAAGGCATTAGTCCAAAAAAAGAAATCTTAAATAAATAGGAAACTAAATTATTTTTAAACACTCTTATACCATTTTAAGTATTAACATAAATAATATATAAATATATAATGTGTAAATAAAATATCATCCAAAGAAAGTACATCGACATCAGTACATTATAAAATTAAAAAGTTCTTACTTAATTCCCTAAAGTTAATTAAAATGAACTAAGCCCCTTTCTGCAATATGCGATTCAATCGATATATTATAATAATTGAGTTCTATGATAACTTGATTAAATATTAAGAATAAAAAAGCCTTTTACATATTTTACATATTTCACACATTTCACAATATTTAACATTTTGCATTTAATATCTAACAGGATTGTAATGTAATTTTTTTTTTCCTTTCAAAAATGCATAGTTAATTAATAGTTTCATGTACTGCATAAGTTTTTTTTTAATTATAGTTTTTTTTTATTCTATATATTTGAATTTTTATGTAAACAATAAAATTGTACATTAATAGTTTTCACATTATCACATTAATTAATTACATTATATCAAGTATATTAATTAAATTCAATCATTTTGTTATTTATATAATAGTTTGGTTTCAATATAGATTTAAAATATTTAAAAATAAAATATACATTTAAAATGCAGTAACATATATGAACCCCTCAAGTAGTGAGAGTGAAGGCCTCCTACAGAGCATGCCAGGTTGTGATTTTTGGCTTCCATCCTAATATTACATATCACAATACAGAGTAGGTTATTGTTCGTAGGCTCTAATATATTTGAGGTATCTGTCTCTGAAGGGTTATGGTCTTTTTCTCTCATGGGGATCCTTGATTCAATATTATTAAAATTTTTTTTTAAATAATTATCAGTGTTTGGTTTCATTAACGGTCATAGCATATGCATTGTTACGATGATATCTGGTTTTCATGTGTTTTTGGAGAGATCTTTTAAGGACAAATGTGACGTCACAAGCATCACACTTGAACGGCCTCTTCTTTATGTGAGCAACTTCAGTGTGCTCGCATAAAGTTTGATAAGTAGCATAGGACCGCTCACACTTCGGACATTTATATAGTCCATGGTTCATATGTTTTCTTGTGTGCTGTATAATGCTGTTTCTGTGAAAATACTGCTTCCCGCAGTCGTGGCACTCATACCTCTTCTCAGTATCATGGGTAATCATATGCATCGAGAGACTGTTCTTGACCACAAACTTTTGTAAGCACACCTCACATTCATATGGTTTAGATTTAGTATGCTTTCTCGCATGAAGACGTCTTAAAGCACTTCTGGAAAACCCTTTACCGCAATACAAGCACTGAAATACTTTAACCCCGGTGTGTGACACCATATGCTCCTCATGATCTCTCCGAGTTTGATTATTTTTCCCACACTCCACACACTGTATGCCCGTTTTATGAAAATTCCGTCTGTGTGTTTGCAAATCTTTATTCTGTTTAAATGTAGTACCACATAACTGACATTTGAGTTTTCTATCATAGTGTGTTGCTATATGTTCCTTGAAGCTCTTCCTTACTTGGTATGTGTAGGAACACTCCTCGCATTTAAATACTGAAGCAGTGGTGTGTCTTAATTTATGATATAAATAATCACGATGGTTTGAAAAGGCCACTTTGCATTTATTGCAGGTAAAGCAAAGGTTCTCCGAATCATGAACATATTTGTGTTCTATCAGCTCGTCATTCGTTTTAAATGTTTCCTGGCAGAGAGCGCATGTGAATGTTACGCCTTTCAATTTGAGATGAGATCGTGAGTGCAACACTACAGCTCGTTTTGTTAGGAACTGTTCCGGGCAATGCTCACAATGGTATATTGTGTTAGATTTCTTTGCATTCTTCAAATTCGAAATTGTCTTTTTATTTGTACTACTACTGTAATCACTATCAAGTGAGGATTGGTCATCCATTTTTGAATTTTGAAACAACGAAATTAAGATGATAACGTAATGTTAGTAGTAATATATTATTATTATTATTATTTGGTCTATTTGGCCCTTGGTATAGTAATATATTTGTGAAGAACAACTTCTAGCCAACATGACATGACACACAGAGTACTTTTATATATACTGAAATGACATTAAATGATTAAATAAAAATCAACTGAAATCAACCATAGATAATACGCTATATACCAGGGATATATATATATATATATATATATATATATATATATATATATATATATATATATATATATATATACAAATCAACTATCTAGTATCTACATACTTAGTTTGTCACACAGAACACTATTTGTCAAAGTATAGCTAAGTCTTTTTATCCTAATCCTAAATATAAATATAAAAAAAAAAAAATATAAATTAACAATTCATTGTTTTTTTTTTGGAGTTTATGGCCTGGTATCTAGACCTTTAGGCCAAGTCTTAAGTATTTTTATTCGGTTTATTGTAATTTCCCCACTCCTTCATAGTATACTGCTTCACAATATGTTGATGCGTCACATTGTGCAGTTCTTGGGAGATTTTGGCGGCAACTTGATCCAGCAGACAGCTGATAGTTGGCGATGGTATCTAAAGGTGCCTATGCAAACAAACAGCTTATCTTGAGAATCCATCACCATCAGAGCACTTGTTTCACTGTTTCCACTAATAGTTCACATGCGTAGACACTTAATACACAAAATCGCAACACTTTTACATATCAAAGTCCACTTCAAACCATTATTTAAACAATAATACAGGAGCAGCAAACCGCCGCCGGTCAATTTCCCGCCAAAACTCCAACAACTATTCATTGTTCGTATTTTAAATCACAGATAACTGTATACTAGTTTTAAATCGTAGATAGAGTATTGACTAGATAAAGCATTCGCGTATGCTTTTGAGATAGAAATAGGCGGGAGGTACTTTCACTGGGTTACCAGATATTGTTCCATTTCCCCCGTTATGGGTTTATTTATATTCACAGCACTTACATTCATACAAAAAACTTAATTGTTACCATAAAAAAATGTTCTTTTATAATTCAGATGATTAATTAATTTCTCTTGAAAATACATTCTGTGACAAAAACTACAGGCGGAAACGGCGTAAAAACAGAATCATCATTCTGTATTCAACGGCGCATCGACGATTTTACTGGACATTCAATAAACTCTTTGGATTTTGACGGCACTAAGTGAAGGCGCTAATAGCACAAAGTGTGATATCGCTAATAAATAACAATATGTTATGTATGTACTTAAATATTAATTGAGGATAAAAATATTAAATAATAAACAAAAATTTCCTTGTCGAGTTTTGTTGTTTTTTAAAAAAAAATCAATAATGTTTTAACATACCATTCCATCACAAGTTCAGTGCTGAACACAGACCTTCGAAAGGAAAGGGTTTCCACTTAGGTTTTGTAGTACAAAACACGGGTGCATATTTTGCTAAGTTAGTGTCTTGTGTGCGGCAAGTTGTGGCGTACAAGAGAATTTGTCTGTACACGGGATGATATTACCCCGCGTCGTAAGCAATAATACAAGATGGGGATGGGGCAGCAGCACTTTCCCGATGAAAACTTAAAATAATAAAAAACTGCGGTGGCCAACCAGCATAACGCATATTTTCACACAGGCGTGGCAACTATGGCAGTCATCATATGAGGATATCTATGGAAGGCCTTTTTTAGGTGACTTACTTATGGTTAGGTGGCTTGGTTAAGGTGGTAAAATATTTTAGTTAATATACGTTGTAAAGCATCAATAAAGGATTTTTGTTTGTAATATGTTGGTATATAAAATAAAAACGAATGTTTTATAATATTCTATTTTAATTTACCATGCAGTGTAAGATTATCTGCTACCTCATATCATTCCATGGGTGGTGTATGAGGTGACATAGGGAAACATCAAAGAAAATAAACAGCAGCATTGTCCTGATAACAGCTAAATAATGGTTGACAACCCGCTTTCCAAGCGTTGAAACTATGCCAAATAACTATAATCATGTTTATGTTCAACAGTGGACTTTTGATAGACTGTAAAGATATATACTGTAAAGATATATATTCTATTTAAATGAAAATATATTGAAATTTAAAAAGGCAAAAGAACTAAATTTTGTGTACTTACACAACATTTAGAAATATTAACAATGTTACATTAAGTAAAACAAATGAAAACACATATTAAATATAATTCAATAAAATTAAAATAAACAAACGATTATTATTAATCTTTTATCACATTAATAAACAAAATATTTTACAAAATTTTTGTCTCCTTTCTAGAGCATTCGTTGTAATTCTTGGTTTGAGTAGCATTAGAATTCCTCAAAAATATGCATTTGTAAACTTGATTTATACTTTTGCATTGCAGAAATTCGTGGGTGCTGGTCGTTAGAATCGGATTAGAAGGGAGTATATATATATATATACATATATATATATATATATATATATATATATATATATATATATATATATAATTTGCCTTGTATATAATACATTTTAATGGTATAAATAATAAGGTACAACTCCTAAACTATACTTAGATAGGTAATACTTATCTCTTGTCAAAAACATCTTTATTACTTTATTTATGACAATTGAATAAAAATTATCATAATTATTACATTTATTTCTTAATTTATTTACACATTAATGTTTATAACACCTTTATAAAGGGATGGTGGACTAAATGTCCCATTGGTAAGCATTCCCAGTCAATTTTACAATTATTATTGCATAATAAATTATTCATTTGTATATTTAGGTTAGGACTTAAATTACTTATTTATTTCTTTTATTTAAATCTTTATTTGCATAAAACATGGTAATACAGATAAAGTTCCAACATTTGTAAATGAGGATTCATGTTTCATCAATACATCTAAGAGTAAATATTTTGTCATTGTCATGCCACCCAATTATTACAAGTCATAATAATACAGAATGTCAGCATTTGAAAATAAAATAAGCAATGCTAGTCAATTTTTAACACATACAGAACAATGTCAAAAATCATAACTACCAACAAGATCAAACTTATATCACTTATGGAGAAACAACAAGATACAACAAGAAATTATAACATTTAAAAAAATTATCTTAATTATATTATAAATTACATAAGTTAAGCATATTTAGTCCACTTAAAACAATGAGGTTTAAAATGTTTTGAGCATACACTGCTAAGTTTTGTTGGTTACCTATAAGCACTACCAGTAGCGATTATCCAACTGTTACGGATAGCCGATTCCTTAGGAAAGCTGTGAAATAATATATTAAAAAGAAATTAATATATTAAATATACAGTACACTTTTATATCAAGGTATTAAACAAAAAAAATCTTGTATGTGTATCTGTGCATAAATACAATACCTATAACAATTAAAACAAAATCAATTGATTTAATTAAATAGCAAGTACTTGTAAATGTAATGATAATATTATTCATACCAAACATTTAAAAAAATTATGTACATATTAAGCTTTAGATATTGTTAATTAATACATTTACAGCCTAACACATGTCCTCCACCGCTGAACATAGACCTCCCACACAGTTTGTCTCCAAATAACTGCAGTTGCCAATTGTCCTGCCAAGCTAGGCAATGATCACAAAACCTATAACTTTTGATACTGACTAATGGTAACGGTTAATATGTTATCATCAAATTTTTTCTACATCATTAATTGAGAATATTATCTTATGTAGTTGTGTTATTGTGTACCTTAAGATTAAGACTTATTTATTTATTTATTATTTTATCTATATTTATATTTATTTTTATATTAGCATGACATATTCTGTTTTGATAAATATTGTAATGTAATCGTTGCTAATGTATAATAGAATTAATGGAATGCAATAAAGTTTTGTGCATCTAATTTCAGGCAATACATATTTTGTGAAATTAAAGTTTTCAGGTTATACTTGTATATATACTTGTAATACTTACATATTATTTGTGACGTCTATGTAATATGAAAAATGATTGAAGAGTTGTAGGGCAATAAGGAGTTACCTTTAAAGCTGAACATAAAAGTGTATGTATATGTATAACATTATGTGATTCATATTTATGGACATAACTACTAATCACAATAACAATTATTATTGAACAATGCGAAAACATTATTGTACTCACTGATATCCCTAAAGTTTCTATAATCCTACCAAATCAAAAAGTACACGTTAGTTATGACTTTAAGCTTTCGAATGACCGTTCAAATTAAGGAGCATTATCATGAAGAATTTACAATCTGGGAGTTCAAATATTTGACAAAATACACCACAAAGTCCATTAAAAACATGAAATGTTACACTTTATATTCCAAACAATAGACATTGATCAGTACAAGTAGCAAATGTAAGCACAAAACAAACTTACCGATGAAAGGTAATATTATCAATTTTTCGTTGACTGATGCTGTTGCATCCTAAAATGCTACAACTTACCATCTTTTTCACCTTACCTAATAACTAAGATCCACAAAAAACACTAAATTCAATTACCTGTTTGCTTATAATATCAATATTATTCTAAAGAGCTTGACATCGTTAATGTCAAATAAAGGAGGGAAAACAATCAAAAACGCATACCTAGAAAAAGACAAGAAATATAGATTTGCTTCTCCCTTACTCTTATGTCTAACTATATACGTGCATTCCTTTCACACGCTGATGACGTCATTGAATGTTTAGTCTATATGATACTATGTCTATGTTTTAAATACACAATTTTTTTTTAACTTTACGGTACTGGGTTCTAGCCCCTCTGAGCCTGAAGTTACAATGTATAATTATTATCCTTCTTAGTATAGTGCTTCACAATATGTTGATGCATCACATTGTGCAGCCCTTGCGAGATTTTGACGGCAACTTGATCCAGCAGACAGCTGAAAGTTAGCGATGGTATCTCAAGGCGCCTAAGCAGACAGACACCATATCTT